GTCAGGTGTCCCAGACCAGCCTGGCCAACATGATGAAACCCTGTCTCTACCAAAAATCAATAATTAACTGGGCATGGTGGCACACGCCTGAAATCCCAGCTACTTGGGAGGCTGAGGCAGGAGAATCACTTGAACCCAGTGAGCGGAGATCATACCACTGCACTCCAACCTGGGCAACAGAGTGACTGCATCTCCAAAAAACAGAGAGAGATGTAGGAGAGAGAGAGTCAGAGAAGGAGCTGTGACGAGGGAAGCAGACGTTGGAGGAATGCGATGTTACAAGCCAGGGAATGTGGGTGTCCTCTACACAGTAGAGAAGACAAGGAAATGGATTATCTTCTAGAGCTTCCAGAAGGAACAGCCAGCCCACCATTTGATGTTAGCTGGCCAAGGTCCGTTATAGACCTCTGACCTCAGAACTACAAAAGAATAAATAATTCGTGTTGCTTTAAGCCACTGTATTTGTGGACATTTGCCACAAATACAGTAGAAATTAGCCATACCCAGCTAATTTTTTTCTTTCTTCTTCTTTTTTTTTTTTTTTTTTTTTTTTTTTTTTTTTTTTTTTTTTTTTTTTTTTTTTTTTGTATTTTTAGTAGGGACAGGGTTTCACCATGTTGGTCAAGCTGGTCTCAAACTCATGACCTCAAATGATCCGCCCACCTCAGCCTCTTGAAGTGCTGGAATTACAGGCATGAACCACCACACCTGGCTGGCTTCTTGCTAAGAGAAAAACTTGACCATTGAGTGGAAGAAGCAAGGAGCAAGTGGGTAGGGCCCGGATGTGGCTTTGGATGGGCAGTGAGGTAGGATGATGTTCCAGGAGAGCATCAGCATGGAAGAAGCGCAGTGAGGAACGACAATGTTCCAGGAGAGCATCAGCACGGGGGAAGGGCAGTGTCCGAAAGCCCAAGGGTGTCCCTGTGTCCAACAGCTTGGGCCACAGTAATGAAACATACCACAGACAACAAACATTTATTTCTCACAGTTCAGAAGGCTGGAAGTCTGAGATGAGGGTACCCAAGGCTGGGTTCTGCCTTCTCACTGTGTCCTCAAGGTGCAGAGGTCCAGGGTCCAGGGTCTCTTCTGTAAGGGCGCCAATCCCATTCACAAGGGCTCCACCCTCATGGACTAATTATCTCCCAAATGCCCCACCTCCTAATGCCATCGCGTTGGGGCTAGGACTTCAACAGATGAATTTGGGAGGGGGCACGAACATTCAGTCCATAGCTCCCCAGGCAAACTTGCGTGGCTTCTGCGCCACTGACAGTGAGGCTTGGGGGCACCTGTCCCAGCCCCTCCATCCTTCAGAAGCAGAGCTTCCTAACATTCCTCACATCCGTCACGGAGACGATGGCATTGATGTACAACACTGGGCCACAGAGAGGGAATCAGGAGACGTCCACAGGAGCCTGGTGGAAAAAAAATTACAATTTATTTATCTTATATAATTATGATAAGAAAAAATGAAATATAAAGTATTAGGAAAGATTTGTGTAAAACATCCAAATGAAACCTCCTAAACTCAAAATGAGAAATGAGCTTGATTTGGTGAGCACAACTTTTTAATATCAGATTTTTTTTTTTTTGCTTGAAATGACCACAAGCAATTCCTATTCAAGGCTCTTTATTTTATTTCTTTATTTATATTTTTGAGACCGAGTCTCACTCTTTCACCCAGGCTGGAGTGTGGTGGATAGCACCGCTCCCATCTCCAGGATCTGAGGTCTGTGGGCAGCATCAAGGTCTGCCTTGCGGTGGGACCGCTTGGGTTTCAGAGCAGGGTCCCTGTTGTTTCCTGACAGGTGATCTGAAGCATAGCTGGGTGGTAACACGGAGCTGTTCAGGGACTTTGTTTCCAACCGGGGTGCATCTAATCTTGTCTTCCTGAGGATGATGACCACTTGGGGCTCCTTGACGTCCTGAGGCCGTATGCAATGAATGATTTCATCAGCAGCATACCCACTGAGCACAGCCGTGCTGCCTCTGTGCACCAGCAGTGGATGGCGCCATTGCACTCCAGCCTGGGTGAGCTGATTCACTGCAACCTCCACCTCCCGGGTTCAAGTGATTCTCCTGCCTCAGCCTCTTGAGTAGCTGGGATTACAGGCACCCAATGCCACGCCTGGCTAATTTTTGTATTTTTAATAGAGACAGGGTTTGGCCATGTTGGCCAGGCTGGTCTCAAACTCCTGACCTCAGGTGATCCACCTGCCTCAGTCTCCCAAAGTGCTCGGATTACAGGTGTGAGCAACCGCACCCAGCCATTTTTGTATTTTTAGTAAAGACAGGGTTTTACCATGTTGGCCAGGGTGGTCTGGAACTCCTGATCTCAAGTGATCCGCCCATCTCAGCGTCCCAAAGTGCTAGGATTACAGGCATGAGCCACTGTACATAGCTCATGAAGGCTCTTTAATGATGATTTCTTCAAATGTTGGATAAACAACACCTACAAAAAGACAGCCCAAGTAGGTGATAGTTTTGGTTTGTTTGTTTGTTTTTGTTTTTTGAGACAAAGAAAAAATACAAAAACTAGCTGGGCATTGTGGTGCATACCTATAGTCCCAGCTGCTCGGGAGCCTGAACTGGCAGGATGGCTTAATTCTGGGAGGCAGAGGTTGCAGTGAGCTGAGTTGATGCCACTGCACAGCACGCTGGGTGACAGAGTGAGACCCTGTCCCAAAGAAAAGAATTAACCCTCAATATTTACTCTCAATGACAACTGTAACTTTTTTTTTTTTTTCAGGTGTGGTGACAGGGTCTTTCTTTGTTGCCCAGGCTGGTCTTAAACTCCTGGGCTCAAGCGATCCTCCCTCCTCAGCCTCCCAAAGTGTTGGGATTACAGGTGTGACCCCAGCCTGTAACCAAAATTCTTATGATAATGAGAATAATTGATTGAGAATCTAATCAAACTGTCTTATATTGAGTATTTATTTTTATTTTTATTATGATCATTATTTAGAGACAGGGTCTTGCTCTGTCAGCCAGGCTGGAATGCAGTGTTGTGATCATGGCTCACTGCAGCCTCAAACTCCTGGTTTCAAGTGATCCTCCCACCTTGGCCTCTGAAAACCACTGGGATTACAGATGTGAGCCACTGGGCCCGGCCTCAAGTAATTTTAAAATAACACTGCACTTAGAATTACCAGAATGTGTATATGTGGTTAGAGCAGGCAGCATGGGTGCCCCTAGAAAGGCATGTTATCTACAAACAGGGAGCCTTGTGCAATATACAAGACATTTCCAGGTGGCCCCCTGAAACCATCCCTCCTGGTTTCCTGGACCACCCCAGGCCCACCCCAACTCTAGCATCGGCTCACACCTGCTGTCGGCCATGCATGCAAACACTGTGGGAGATGTGCAGGGTAAGTCACCTCCGTACTGGACCTCCCTCATCCTGCCACCCACCTATGGCATTCCCTGGGGAGTCTCTGCAAGATCTTCCAAAAGCTACCAGCCTGGGGGCTCCAATCGCCCCAGGCCCAGCCTGACAGCAAGGGGAGCAATATCCTTCCCCACTTTATCTTATTGGCGACAATCCAGCATCTCCACCCAGACCAACAGAAAAGGAGCCTGATTCATCCAGAAGAGAAAGGTCAAAAAACATTTCTTGACCCCTCCTCCACCCCCCACACCCACCCCTGTGAGAGGGCTAGCCTGGGTTCCAGTCCCACCCCTCTACCTACAAGCTGGGTAACTCTCCCTTGATGACCTCTCCGAGCCGCAGTCCCCACCTCTGTAAAACGGGGACGGTAGTATCTGTCTCATGGGATTGTACGAAGGTTATGCAGGCAATGCATGTAAGTGGCTGGCACAGGGCTCCACCCAGGGCAAGCCTGAGTCAATGCTGGTTCTGGTCTGTGATGCAGAGACCCTCAGACACAAAGACCACTAACACAGTCACACACACAAAGATACATAGACACAGAGGCCCAAAGCCACAGTGAGCTCATGTGTGGGCACACACGTGGGAGGCACAGATCTGTCGGCCCCATGGAGATGCCCTAGCCCAGTCCCAGACCCCACCCCTTTACCCAGACAGGAGCCATCCAGCTGCAGCTGGATCTGACCTGCCCTTGGGAGAGCCTTGGGCATCAGAGGGAGCACGTTCGGCTCCTCCTCTTTGATGTGTCTGTGGAGGACGGCTGGCCAGGTTCCTGCAGGCACTCTGGGGGCCCAGACTCCAGGTATGAAACCCCATCATCCCACCCCTTTAATTCATTTCACCCCCTTGCTGTCAGTGTGCAGACGCCTTTATTTTTTGACTGGGGGAGTAGAGGTGGAGCTAGGAAAGGGTTGCCATCCACAGCCCACAAACACACAGGCACACCCACAGAGGCACACAGAGGCTGACACAAGGACACCTGCAGCACTCACAGGTCGCAGCTCCCACCCAGGAAACCCGTCCAATCCAAGACCTCTGCCTGCAAATCCAGGATGTTCCATTCCCTGCCATGTCCACATTAGCACCATCCCCCCCACCACCACTGCCATCCCCTCTGTGACCAGTAGCCCCACGACCACCAGTAGCCACTGCCACCACAGCACACCACCATGGGTGAACTGATGGAGGAGCCCTCGGGGATTCTGATACAGCATGGAGGAGACCCCCAGTGGGAAGGGCAGAAGGAGGGCGACGAGCTTCCTAGGAGCCCAGAGGACAAGGTCCAGGAGCTCAGGCCTCTGCAGCAGCCGTGGACTCCAAACTCTAGCCCTGCTGGAGAGCGTTTTCCCTGCCTGTGTCTGAGCCTGCCCTCTCCCGCCTCTCCCTCCCTCCCACACCCACGGAAAGCTGGTCCCTAGCAGGAGCTAGTGCTGGAGGTGGAGGCGGCTGCAGAGAGAGAAGCCTAGGAGGGAGGGGCACAGCCCTGGCTGAACCCACAGGATTGGCCAATCTGCACCCTCTCGGCCAGCACCTCACTAAAGATTCCTCAAAGCGACAGTGACCTTAGCCTCTGCTCTGAGCTCTGCTGGTCCCAGCCAGGAGAGCCCGAGTCATGAGGTGGGCACCCAGTGGGCAGGGTGGGCCGCAGGGGCCTTCTTGGAGGCAGTGGTGAGTTGGGAAGGGGCGGCTGGGCCCCGCAGGGGGCACGATGGACAAGTTCCGGATGATCTTCCAGTTCCTGCAGTCCAACCAGGAGTCCTTCATGAACGGCATCTGTGGCATCATGGCCCTGGCCAGCGCCCAGATGTACTCAGCCTTCGACTTCAACTGCCCCTGCCTGCCAGGCTACAACGCGGCTTACAGCATGGGGATCCTGCTGGCACCACCCCTGGTGCTCTTCTTGCTGGGCCTGGTCATGAACAACAACGTGTCCATGCTGGCGGAAGAGTGGAAGCGGCCACCGGGCCACCGGGCGAAGGATCCCGCCGTGTTGCGCTACATGTTCTGCTCCATGGCCCAGCGTGCCCTCATCGCACCCGTCGTCTGGGTGGCCGTCACACTACTCGACGGCAAATGCTTCCTCTGTGCCTTCTGCACTGCCGTGCCTGTGACCGCACTGGGCAATGGCAGCCTGGTGCCTGGCCTGCCTGCCCCTGAGCTCGCCCGCCTGCTGGCCCGGGTGCCCTGCCCTGAGATCTACGATGGTGACTGGCTGCTGGCCCGAGAGGTGGCTGTGCGCTACCTGCGCTGCATCTCCCAGGTGAGGGGCCACATGGCCTCAGGCTGGGTCTCCCTGGCAGATCAAGGTCCCTCTAGGAGGACCCTAGGTCCCTACCTCTCAAAATGGGGCCTCTGCTCAAGTGGAGCTCTGAGGGGTGGGGGGCATCTTCCCAACTGAGGCTGAAGGCAGAGCCACGCATCTGCCCTCAGCCCAGGGCCATCTGGAGAACATGCTTCGGCTCCCTCCATCCAGAGGCTTCTGGTGAGTGGGCCTGACCCCTGTCCTGAGGTCTCCAGAGTGGACCCACATCCCATCCGGATCTCTGAGCTTGGAAACTGGAGGAATTTGCATCCTTTCTCTCTTCCAGGCCTCGGCAGTGGTGAGGCTAGTGGGTGGCTAGGCCATTTGGGTACATTTCCCTGGCAAATGCCCCCATCTGGTGCTTCCCTGGTGGGGACTGGGAGCTGAGGACGGGGGTGTCCTGGAAGGGGGCACATGGGTGAGAGAGATGCCTTGTTGGGATGTGACAGAAAGGCAGGTTGGAAGGCCCACTGACAGGGCAGCCAGAGGGAGAGTCCTCCCAGCCCTGCTCCCACTGCCCCTCGGTGCTCACCGGTCCAAGCCTCTTGGGCCTTTCCACCACCATCAGTGCTGTGCGGGGAGGACCGCCCAGGCAGCCTGCCCTCGCAGCTGGCAGACCAGGTGCTGTCAGGGAGAGGAGCTAGAGCCAGCCTACCTTGCAAGGGCTGGAGAAACGTGCACACTCTGCCCTGGCAAGTCCAGGCACCCCTGGCTTCCCGCTCTAGCAGGGGCGTCTCTCCTGGGAGGCCGCCATCACCACCCAGATAGCCCTGGTGAATGTCACACTCTGAACATTCAGACTGAACTCTGCTTCCCTCTCCTCCCAACCTGTGCCTCCTCTCCTGTGGACACTCATCCCGTCAACCCCGGCCTCAGGGCTTGACCAACTGTCCCTCCACCTGACCTTTAAGCTGCCACTTCATAAGCTGAGTGGACCCTGGAGGCCTATACATGTTTCTTTTGGCCTTCAGGGACTAAATTCTAGATTCAACTTTAGAATTTGTTGGCATCTTATACAAACCAGAATGGGCCGGGGAAGGTGTGGCTCATGTCTGTAATCCCAGCACTTTGGGAAGCCAAAGCAGGAAGATCGCTGGAGCCCAGGACTTCAAGACCAGCCTGGGGAACATAGTGAGACCCTGTCTCCAAAAAAAAAAATTAGCCGGGCTTGGTGGCACATGCCTGTAGTCCCACCTACTCAGGAAGCTGAAGTGGGAGGATTGCTTGAGCCTGGGAGGTTGAGGCTGCAGTGAGCTGTAATTACACCACTGCAGCCTGGGTAACAGAGCAAGACCTGCCTCAAAAAAAAAAAAAGTAAATAATAAAAATCGGAATTTTTCACATAAAAATCAGATTTCCAAGCTGGAAATCCAGAAGATCCAGTCCCGCCGGGCCCACGTGTACTCCTGGAGCAGCCTGGGGTGCCCATGGCCTGTGCACACGCTCAGCAGCTCCCCACCCCGTCTGCTCTGTCATGACCTGCCCGGCCCCATGCTTAGCATCTGAGTTTTCCTTCAGCCCCAGTCTTGATCTGCCCAAATATACCTCTGTGTGGCTGGGGCCTAACCCTGAAGCGGGGGCCAGGGGAGCATCCTGCCCGTGCCCTGCAGTGAGCTGACAGAGCAGGGCTAGAACCAGGTGCAGGGTGCTCTTCCGCAGTTCTTGAGTTCTTGCCTGATTCACCTCCATGACCCCTGAAGGCCCAGCTCAGAATCGACACAAAGGAGGCGCTCACTTGGCACTGGTGACAATACCAGGAGTCAAAGAAGAGGTTCAGGACTCAGAGGAAAAAGGGCCACTATGGCCTGGCGAGATCAAGGAAGGCTTCCTGAAAGAAGAGACACAGTAAGTAGATAAGTGAGTGCCTACTGGCTCAACCGTAATGGTTAATAGTCACTGAACACTGGGTGCCAGGCACAGTGCTAAGCTTATCACATTCAGTCCGCACAGCAACAATGAGATAGTTGCTACCACCAGCTGCATTTTATAGGTGTGGAAACTGAGGCACAGAGAACTTGAGTGCTTTGCTCCTGAGCAACTAGTAATTAGTGGAGACAGCATTCAAACCCAAGCAGCCCAAATCCAGGGTCTGCCACTTAACTCCTGTGCCCGGGGTGCTCCATGTGAGCTTTCCATGAGGTGCACCTGTTTCCATTATTTCAATTTCTATGCCCATTTTACAGATGAGGAAATAAAGGCCAAGCGGCAAGCTCACTTGCCCAATTTAGGCTCTTTGCCCCAGAGGCGCTGGCATAGAGAGTGCTTTGGGAGTCAGGCCGGGTGCGGTGGCTGATGCCTATAATCCCAGAACTTTGGGAGGCCGAGGTGGGTGGATCACCTGAGGTCGGGAGTTCAAGACCAGCCTGATCAACACGGAGAAACCCCATCTCTACTAATAATACAAAATTAGTCGGGCGTGGTGGTGCATGCCTATAATCCCAGCTACTCAGGAGGCTTAGCAAAAGAATCACTTGAACCCGGGAGGCGGAGGTTGCGGTGAGCCAAGATGTGCCTTTGCACTCCAGACTGGGCAACAAGAGCAAAACTCCGTCTCAAACAAAAAAGAAAGAGAGTGCTTTGGGAGTCTGAACAGGCTCTGAGGCCCGAGGCCAGTGCCCAGCGACTTTCTGTTGTCTCCCCACAGGCATTGGGCTGGTCCTTCGTGCTGCTGACCACACTGCTGGCATTCGTGGTGCGCTCCGTGCGGCCCTGCTTCACACAGGCCGCCTTCCTCAAGAGCAAGTACTGGTCCCATTACATTGACATCGAGCGAAAGCTCTTCGATGAGACATGTACGGAGCATGCCAAGGCCTTCGCCAAGGTCTGTATCCAGCAGTTCTTCGAGGCCATGAACCATGACCTGGAGCTGGGTCACGCCCACGGGGCACTGGCCACAGCCCCTGCTTCCAAGGCTGCCCCCATTCCCCCCGACGGTGGGGAGGAGGAAAGGGAGAAGCTGCGTGGCATCACGGATCAAGGCACCATGAATAGGCTGCTCACAAGCTGGCACAAATGCAAACCGCCACTGCGGCTGGGCCGGGAGGAGACGCTGATGGGCAACGGCTGGGCTGGGGGCGGGCCCCGGCCTCTGCGCAAGGAGGTGGCCACCTACTTCAGCAAAGTGTGAGGCACGGCCAGCTGAAGAGGCAGGAATGGGGGTCTGAGCCCACGGCCCTTCTGATCCCCAAACCAGGTGGAAAAATGAAGGCTTTCAGTGCTGGGCACTAGCCCACACTCCCTGGCACACGCCTGCCCATAGCAGGCAGGATATCTGGAACTGGAAGGGGATCTCACACCCTCAGCTATGACACTGCCCTGGATGGCCCTGGGGCAGTGGGTCCATAAGCAGTATTAGTCTAAAGGGGTCAGAACTGTCATGGCGGACACAGGGACCGATGGCTCCACTCTGCCCAGCCCTTCCCAGGCTGATGTTCACTGTCTCCTCCCAGGTTCGACAGACATCCCTGCCCCAGGGTCCACTTTCATCTGTGGCTTTTTAGGACCTCTCTTCCTTTCTGCTCAGGGCCTGGGGAGTGGGAAGCATCCAGGCATCTCATGAAGCGGGAGCCCTCTGATTTGGGCAAGCGTGTCCTAGGTGAGACTGAGTGGTCTGGGGCAGGCCTATAGGGACATGACACACAGCCCACTTGGCGTGACAAACCTGGGGTGACAGGCGATGAGATGCGATGTCAGAAGCTAGGTTCACATGGGAGAGGCCAGATTGTGTGTGGTCACCACAGGGTCACATGACAATTGTCCGGGTGGACTGTCTGTTTAGCACCAAGCACAAAAGTCCTCCCATAGAGGGGTCATTGAAGACTACCCTAATACTCCCTTCACATCCAGGTCTCAGGAGGAAATCAGACCACCCCTAAGGCTTGAGAAGTTAGACACAGAAGCTAAAGTCTCTCCATTTTTCTCAAAGACCCCACCACTTGGGGAGGGAGTTCTAAGAGGCTAAGAGGAGCTCCAAGGCGCTAGCCCAAGCGGGATGAGGGTGGAGGAGAGCAGCATAAACGGGAAGCAGCTGATTCCAGAGTGGGACAGAATTGGGTCAAATGCTGTCTCTACCACTCACAAACTCTGTCCCTGGGCCAGCTGCATCACTGCCTGTGCCTTAGTTTCATCTATACAATGGGGGTGAGGGCCTTCCCATCATGGCATTGCTATGTATAAAAGCACATGGCGCCGGGCGCGGTGGCTCAAGCCTGTAATCCCAGCACTTTGGGAGGCCGAGGCGGGTGGATCACGAGGTCAAGAGATCGAGACCATCCTGGTCAACATGGTGAAACCCCGTCTCT